TTAATTCACTTATCCATCACCAACACCTCTTATCTATATAAATAAAAATGTAATGTTTGTTTGTGGGATTAACAGAACTCAAAAACCACTGGGCGAATTGACACCAAATTTGGACACAAGACACCTAACAACCCAATGTATGTCCTTCACTAAAAAAAATGATTTTGTCATTTGGGAGTTGTAGTTTCTGGGATTTATAATTCACCTACAATCAAAGAGCATTCTGAACCCCACCAGTGATGGAATTGAACCAAATGTGACACACAGGACTCCCATGACCAACAGAAAACACTAGAAAGGTTTGGGGGCATTGACCTTGAGTTTGGGAGTTGTAGTACACCTACATCCAGAGAGCACTGTGGACTCAAACAATGATGGATCTGGACCAAACTCTACACGAATATTCAATATGCCCAAATGGGAACACTGGTGGAGTTTGGGGAAAATAGAATATTGACATTTGGGAGTTGTAGTTTCTGGGATTTATAGTTCACCTACAATCACAGAGCATTCTGAACCCCACCAATGATAGAATTGGGCCAAACCTCCCACTCAGAAGCCCCATGTGGGCCACAGCAACACATGGCAGGGGACGGCTAGTCTTTAAAATAAGTTTCAACCATAATGGCCTAATGAAGAACACAACTTTATCAGGAGGTGTTATAATGTTATAACATGTTATATGGTGTTATAACATACAGAATAATCACAGGATGTCTTAAACCTACACCTGTTGATAAACTACCAGCTAGCTGGCATTGCCCCCTCCCCAATGTGCAACAGGAAGTTGCTGCTAAATGTGAAAGAAATAAAGTTGAACCCTGTGAAAGCCACCCACTACATGGCTACCAGCCTCCTCCCAGTAGAGTCAAATCAAGTGAAAGCTTCATGAGAACTACCACTCCTCTTGGCGTCCCCCCAACAGCAAGGGTATCCCTCTGGACAACTAAACCAGGAAAACCCAACTGGATGACCCCCCACGAGAGAGGGTCTTCCTCCAGGGGCAAACCAAGAATGGGCAACTTGGAAGTCCCTGAACAGACTCAGAAGTGGAGTGGGCAGATCAAAAGACAACCTGGCAAAATGGCACTACCTAAAAGAATCCCACACCTTTTGTGACTGTGGAGCAGAACAGACAACTCTGCATCTGTATGCTTGTCCACTATGCCCTGCCTCATGTACAGAGGAAGAATTGTTGGAGGCTACAGACAATGCCATTGCTGCTGCCAGTTTTTGGTCAAAAGATATTTAGTTGCTTGCGCTCCTTCCACCACATTCCAGGGCAGAGAGAGAGATTTCCACTACTGAACAGGGGCAAACCAAAAATGGGCAACCTGGAACTCCCTGAACAGACTCAGAAGTGGAGTGAGCACATCAAAAGACAACCTGGTAAAATGGCACCACCTAAAAGAATCCCACACCTTGTGTGACTGCGGAGCAGAACAGACAATTCCGCATCTATGTGCTTGTCCACTATGCCCTGCCTTATATACAGAGGAAGAATTATTGGAGGCTACAGACAATGCCATTGCAGTTGCCCATTTTTGGTGAAAAGATATTTAGCCATGTGCACTCCTTCTATTATTATCGGTTTTATACTAATTTATGCAATGCTTTTGATACGAAATAAATAAATAGGAGGTTAGAACCTGAAATAATTAATTGTTCTTTGTAGACAGCAACCCATCTTCCAATGGTTAAGATCATGGAAGCTAAGCCTCACAGAGGACCATCACTGTCCAATTTATGAGTTAGGAAGTCCACCCACCTGTTCCACACAAATTAACTAGGTGGCCTTAGGAACACAGATTTCTTTCACATTCTCCCAGATCTGATTTCTGCTTCAGGATTGTTGTAAAGATTGCAACAATTCGGTACCCATAATACTCTAAGCAGCACAAGTAAGTCATCACTATTGCAAGGTGGTAGACCTAGACTATTTAGAAATCATAAAGGTTTTCCCTGACATTAAGTCTAGTTGTGTCCAACTCTGAAAGATTTTATTTCTCCAGCCTTCCTTCAACATTCTCTCAATGCCAATATATCAACTAAAAATCCCAGCTCTATAAAAGGTAGTTTTCCCTTGACATTAAGTCTAGTTGTGTCCAACTCTGGAGGGTGGTGCTCATCTCCATTTCTAAGCCAAAGAGCTGGCATTGTCCGTAGACACCTCCAAGGTCACGTGGCTGGCATAACCGCATGGAGTGCTGTTACCATCCCGCAGAAGAGTACCTATTGATTCACTCACATTCACATGTTTTTGAACTGCTAGATTGACAGAAGCTGGGCCTAACAGAGGGGGCTCACCCAGCTCCCCGGATTCAAACCACCAACCTTTCAATCAGCAAGTTCAGCAGCTTAGCGGTTTAACCTGCTGCACTACTAGGGGCCCAAAGCATTGATAAATTATTACTATTTTTATATCCTGATTTTCTACCAAATGGGATTCAGTGTGGTGAATAATGAACATTTCACTCAAGAAACAACCAGGAAACTCTGAGATTTCTCAAAGCATTGAAAAACAAACAATCAAATTCTGCAGTAGCTGAAACTTCCGGTCTTTTGCAAGTAATGCAATTAAACACATTATGGTGATGGGAAACAAAGTAAACAGAACAGAAAAAGCAGTGATCAGTGTAGCATAATTTTTATAAAAATCTAAAGATTAATATGAGACAAAATTTAAGGGACTCTTTGATTCTTAAGGGAGGAAATGAAAGGATTTCATCCAGCGTATACCCACATGCTCCACTGTATTCACCTGTGACCTTTACATATAAAAGGTGAGGAAAATAGCTTTTCTTGCATTCAAGACCAATATTGTAACCACTGGAGACTCATGAGCTCTCTTTTTCATATCTAATCATTTTAAGAAGTCAAACTACTGATATCTAGGCAAGAGAGAGGAGGCAAGCCTGGGAGGTGGGAGATTACTTCTGTCCTTGACTTGGCTGCCAACAAGGAAGCAAAATGAGCCGCCAGTTGTATTTATTTAGTCAGAAAATTTCATTCCCTGCCCTGCCAAGGGCAAAGAGAGACTTTGCATTTCCATCTTCTTAATGAACACCCACCAATCCTATTTTGTTACATGGCTTTCTTAAGATGACTATGAATCTAATTTAAGAGCTGGAGAAAGGCAATGTCGGTGAGTAAACATTCATAACTATTAGACAAAATTAAGTAATTGAAGTGAAGAATAACAATTCCTTCATTCCGAAAGGATATTCAAATTCTAATCCATTCCGCAATCTGTACTGAAACCATAACAGCATTTGGGAAGAAATATAAATTTAGTTCTATTAAATACAGTAAATCATTTCACCCAATAGATAAGGGCTATTTTTCTCCCTCTGTACATCTTGTTTAATGTTTCTAATGTACAAGATTTCAGTCAAATTGCTTGCCATTCCCAGTCTTATCTAGTGAAGAATGAAATACCCATTCACGTCTTATCAGAGAGTTCTCCCCATAACCAGCATTCTTCCTCTTAATCGTCACCTGCTTTAGGAATATTTGAATAAAATGAAGAACATTTTTCAACAGCTGCAGATTAATATTTGAAATATTTTATAATACAAAAGGAATATTTGCCCTTCTGTTATCCTTCCACATTATGAGCATGCCTCATGCTCTTCTTCCACAGCCAATACTTTGTGCTTATTTATTTATTTATTCATTTACTTTATTTCTATACCTCTTTCCTCAGCCATCAGGTGACAACATCAGTACAAAATATCACAAAACAAGTATAGGGCAATTAAAAACAATTATCACATAAATCATTAACATCAGTATAACAATCATTAGCGCCTCAACAGTAAAATCAGAATCCAGTCTCATCATCCATTATTCCATATTCCTATGTTCAATTACACTGTTTAATCAAATGCTTGTTCGAACAGCCAGGTCTTCACTTTCCTCCGAAACGCCAGCAGGGAGGGGGCCAATCTGATATCTGCAGGCAGGGCGTTCCACAGCCGAGGGGCCACCACTGAGAAGGCCCTGTCTCTCGTCCCCGCCAAACGTGCCTGTGATGCAGGCGGGACAGAGAGCAGGGCCTCCCCAGATGATCTTAGTGTCCTAGTCGGTTCATAGGAGGAGATGCGTTCGGAGAGGTAAGTAGGGCCAGAACCGTTTAGGGCTTTATAGGCTAAAGCCAGCACTTTGAATTGTGCCCGGTAGCAAACTGGCAGCCAGTGGAGCTGGCGCAACAGAGGAGTAGTATGCTCCCTGAGTGCCACTCCTGTTAGCAACCTGGCTGCCAAGCGCTGGACCATTTGAAGCTTCCGAGCAGTCTTCAAAGGAAACCCCACGTAGAGAGTGTTGCAGTAGTCTATGCGGGATGTAACCAGAGCGTGGACTACTATGGCCAAGTCAGACTTCCCAAGGTACGGGCGCAGCTAGCACACTAGTTTTAACTGTGCGAATGCTCCCCTGGTCACCGCTGAAACCTGGGGTTCCAGGCTCAGCGACGAGTCCAAGATCTCACCCAAGCTGCGAACCTGCATCTTCAGGGGGAGCTTCTACTTCCTACGGCTACAGATTCATGCTACCCTGTGTTAAAGAGATTATAGGAAGGTGTGGTTTGAGCACTGGACAATGGCACTGGACATCAGGTTTTGACACTGGAGATCAGGGTCTCTCAGCCTCAGAAGAAGGCAAAGGAAAATCCCCTCTGAACAAATGTTTCCAAACAAGTCCCAAAACAGGTTCCACTTAGAACAGTGGTTCTCAACCCAGAAATCAACTCCCAGAAATCCCAGCCAGTTTACCAGCTGTTAGGATTTCTGGGAGTTGAAGGCCAAAAACATCTGGGGACCCCAGGTTGAGAACCACTGCCTTAGGATCACCATCAGTCAGAAACAATCTGAAGGAACACACCAACAGATGACAAGATGGTCTACAGACAGTTGAGCTTTTAGTACTGCAGCAGCATTAAAAAGGCTAATGATAATTACATACGGTCTGACAAGTCATAGTTAAGCAATTCAAAAATGTACCTGTGTAACAAGTGGCTCCAATAATCTCTCCACAGTAAGAGTTCTGATTTCCAAACTTTTGGGGTCCCATTTTAAAATGATCGGTGAAGTTGCAGAAGTCATTCTCCCTAAAACAAAGATAATCAGTTAGAGGGATACTTAACTCAAATTTAAATAGAGCCATATCTTGAGAATGACATTTACTTATTACACAGATGTTAGCGTTATAGAAATCACAGATTGAAATTAGTTCAATTTCAGACAGAATGCTAAACAGAAGCCAAAATGCAGAAGAAAAGAAATGCTCATTTATTTCCATGGAATATAAATGGTGAATTTTGTCTCCAAACAGAAATTTGTAAGAACAATTTCTATATTTCTTTATACTATCGACCCCACACAAACAAAGCAACCACTATGGAACTAAGCCAGTTTCAATGTGAGCAAAATGAAAAGCATCATAAATATAATATTGCATCCTTTCTATGCAAATGTTATGAAACATTCAGGTGACAGATTTAAAATAGTGAACTTTCATTCTAGTTGATTGCCAGAGGACATTAAAATTAAACATTTGTGGGAGCAAGAGGACCCGTGGTCTATAAACCCAACAATAGTGTTTCAATGAACATTTAAAGGAACGTTTATATAGTTGTACAAAAAATTGCTCACAAATGTTTTATTGCATTTATATGTTTTAAATGTTTTATAATTTGATATGTTATATTTATTATTTGTTGTTGCACTTATTTATTTATTTATTTGTTTATTTATTTAATTTGACTTGTATACCGCCACTCCCAATTTGACTCGGAGCGGTTTACAGCAGTAGATTAAAAACAATACAACCAACTTTAAAATATAATAAAAACGAGAACAGACATAGTCCCGAGTTATTCACCCATCGAAAGCTTGTCGGAAAAGAAAGGTTTTACAGGCTTTCCAAAAAGCAAGTAGCTCTCGGATGGTTCAGGTTTCAACTGGCAAGGCATTCCATAAATAAGGGGACAGAGTCGAGAAGGCTCTCTGCCAAGTAGAGGACAGATGATAAGTCTGGATGTGTGGGGCTTCAAGCAAATTTTGGTCTTCGGACCGAAGTAATCTCTGGGGTTGGTAGGGGGATAAGCGGGCCCTCAGGTACGCCGGCCCTAGACCATATAAGGCCTTAAAGGTTACTACCAGCACCTTGAAAGTGATCCGGTACTCAATCGGAAGCTAGTGCAGCTGTTGGAGAATTGGGGTGATACAACACCTCGCCGGCACCCTGGCGAGAAGATGAGCCGCCGCATTTTGCACCAGTTTCAGTTTCCGGATCACTGACAAAGGAAGGCCAATGTAGAGGGCGTTACAGTAATCAAGCCTCGAGATGACTGTCGCCTGGATCACCATAGCCAGGTCCTTCCTAGATATTTATATGTTTTAATTGTTTGATAATTTGATATGTTATATTTATTACTTGTTGTATGATGTGGCATTGAATGTTGCCATAATCTGTAAGCCGCTCTGAGTCCCCTTCGGGGTTGAGAAGAGCGGGGTATAAATACAGTAAATAAATAAATAAGAATGAAACAAGGCAAGATGACTTCCTTAAAGAAGTCCACACTCCAAGAATGACCGATCTAAAGCAAAGAAATTGGCCAATAATAATATAGATGCTCCCAACTCAAGACAATTTTAAAATGATGTTGAGACACAGTTGTGCAAACAATTGTATAAAAACATTATACAAGCAGCTGTGAACCTCTACGATAACTATGTCAGCATAAACCCAAACTATCTCAAAAGGTGGATCTAATTTGTCAACAACAGATGCTTTCACAATTTATGACTTCTTCAGCTTATTCACTTTCTATCCAATAAGGGTGCTACCATGAGACTTAGTAAACATAACACATTCCAATTTCTTGCAAAACAGTCAGTGCTACAATCTATTCCTAATCTAGAAAGAAAATAAGAAAAAATAGAGATTTCTTTCATGCAATTATATTATTATTATTATTATTATGCCCGTTGATGCTGGCTTCTTGGCAGGAGGTTGGACGGGATAGCCCACGAGGTCTCTTCCAATTCTATGAGGACCTCGTCAATGTTATGAGATCCCTAATGTTTTTAATAATCCAATAATTCAACAATACACTTTTGTCACCGGTCTGTACTGATCTACAGTATTACCTGTCACGCATAATGCTAATTACATTTAACCAATCTTAAAACAAAATACAACATTCAACTTTAATAGCATGTGCTATGGTTTTACGGATAGCAACATAATCATAAGGTTCTGTTCCATTTTAAACAAAAAAGGTAACCCATAGAGAGAAGTAAAAACTGCTTAAAATAATAGAATCTATTTAGATTTATTATTGATGTATTTGGACTGTTGTTTGTATGATTTTAAGGTGTTGTAAGCCGCTTTGGGTCCTGTAAGGGAGAAAAGCAGGGTATAAATAAATATTTTTAAATAATAATTATTATAATGATAATAATTACATTCATTTTCATGTATCTATACAGAAATTTCCGACCAACTCTTCTTGTGTACTGCAGCATGAAACAAGTTAAAATTATAATATCATATATACCTAATCTACATAATGCCCCTAATAAAAATATAATAAAAGCAAAGGACAGGCAGAGAGACTGCAGAGAAAATTCGCCCTTTAAATAAAACATTGAGTACTTTGCAATGCAAAACTCAAATGAAATAAAAATGTTTTTACCAACTAGTGAAAAACAGGTAGAGAGAGGGGTCTACTATTCCCAAGATAAGACAAATTCTACAACCTTAATGACTATGTATTCACTGAAGAAATGCCATTTCTTTTCACCATTAGCTATCAGTGTATCCACAGTACACAATTGCAGCAGTGTGGTACCATTTTAACTGCAAAACTGCAGCTTATGGAACACTAGGATTTGTAGTTTTGTAAAGTTCTTTGAATTCTCTGCTAAAAAGAATTTGAAGTCCACTGTACTTCAGGAAAGTTGACTAGGATAGTCTAAAGCTGCACTGACAAATTATCCTGAAGGGTGGGAGAATCAGCTCTGTGGCTAAAAACACATGAAGCAGTTCTGGGTTAATGTACACCAAGGTCACCTCAATGCAACCTTGTGCCACATTCACAAATGGCATGGGCTATTCTGAATTCTCCCTGAGAACCCAGATCAAATCACGACTTTGGGCTCATGGAAACAGTTGGAACCAGCTACAACTGTTGACATGACAATTTATTTATTATTTATTCACTTCATTTATATACTGCTTTTCTCAGCCCTCGGGCGACACAAAGCAGTTAACAATAGTAAAAATTCAGTGCTTAACATCATAAAAACATCGCAAAAAGAATCTGTGAACCCCACCACCTTCAAGATGAACTGAACCACCTCAACTGGGCTCTCCAGGCCAATGGAGACTCCACCTCAGACATCAGAAGAGCTGCAAGACCACGAACAAGCCACGAGAGTAAAGATGAAGATCCACCCAGAGGAAAAGTGTTCCTGCCATACATCAAGGGAACCACTGACCGCATAGGGAAGCTGATGAGGAAACACAACATACAAACCTACAGACCCACCAAGAAAATCCAACAAATGCTACGTTCAGCAAAGGACAAGAGGGATCCTCTCACCTCTGCAGGAGTCTACCGGATACCATGCAGCTGTGGACAAGTCTACATAGGGACCACCAAACGCAGCATTGCCCAAACACGAATCAAGGAACATGAAAGGCACTGCAGACTACTTCAACCAGAGAAGTCAGCCATAGCAGAGCACCTGATGAACCAACCTGGACACAGCATATTATTTGAGAACACAGAAATGCTGGACCACTCTCACAACCACCATGTCAGACTACACAGAGAAGCCATTGAAATACACAAGCATGTGGACAATTTCAACAGAAAGGAGGAAACAATGAAAATGAACAAAATCTGGCTACCAGTATTAAAAACTCTAAAATTACAACAGCACAACAACAGAGAGGAAACAAACAAGGACATCTAATCACCTCTCAACAAAAGATTGTTCCAGGAAATGTCAGGCCATCAAATGCTAATCAAGGTGGTCAGTTGAAACATTCACACCTAGCTCCAGCAGACAAGAGTCCTTTGTCCCACCTTGGTCATTCCACAGATATATAAACCCTTTTTCCTAGTTCCAACAGACCTCACTACCTCTGAGGATGCTTGCCATAGATGCAGGCGAAACGTCAGGAGAGAATGCCTCTAGAACATGGCCATATAGCCTGAAAAAACCTACAACAACCCATCATAAAAACAGTTAAAAAAACAATTAAAATAATAACATATTAAACAGTTAAACGTCAATATAACATCTCATTAGCGTCTCAGTAAAATCAAGATCCAATATCATCATCCGTTGTTCCGAATCCTATTTTCATTACACAATGCCATATTCCCTGGACTTGGGCAGCATGGGTACACAGGATGCCCCTCTCCTATTCTTCTCATCACAGTAACCAGTGTGTATGACATGGCTCATGTTGGTTCCTCGTCACCTGGAGTGACACTAGCCTGAGCGACAAGGTGATTGGAGAAGTGAGAGGAGAGAAAAGGCAGCAATTCCTCCTCTCCCCTCTCCCATATTGCAGTAACACCCCCGCTAATGTCACTCCAGGCAATGAGTAACAAGAATTAGCCAGTCACACCTGCTGGTCGTTGCAGTGAGGACTATTATGTTTGTGCAGTGTGGATGTGCTATGTGTCTCCAAATGAAGCAGAACAAAGAGAAGGACTATATCTCTGAATCTTACAGAACAAATCAGTGGGAGGAACAGGTCCTTGATCATCTCAAACCCAAGCCGATTAAAGATCTAATTACTGACACTTTGAATTCTGCCCAGCATCCAGGAGACAAGCAACACAGAAGATGCAGGATATGTGGAACATGGTTGACAACATTGCCACCCACATTGGCTGCTTTTGCAGTCATATTACAACAATTCAACATCCACTGAATTGGTCTTGCTGTCACCACAACTACTTCAAAAATTCAGCACAAAATACAGGCTTTGTCTATGGGGGAGGCACAATGGTCGCTCGCGCTCCCACCTCCTTTGCAGGAGCGATTGGTGGGGACGAGGGAGAGGGCCTTCTCGGTGGTGGCC